ACCAGTTTTCGGGAACAAAGGCACAATCTTATTGAATTGTTATGTTCCTGAAAATTGGTTGTTGTCCCTGAAAATTGGTTGTTGTTCCTGAAAACTGGTCCATGTCCCGACAACTTGGATATGGTTTTTAAATTTAAATGGTGCTCCGCTAATTTGGAGAGTGTTTCCGTAATTTGGGCCATGCAAATATGATTTAGATTGTACATCATTAAGTTAGCCATGCATAGATTATTTAGCTGGTACGTCATTAAGTTCGGTCATGAATTTATGATTTAGATTGTGTTTTGTAAAATTCAATGCTAATTGAAGTTTACTGGTATAATAAGGTAGATTAAGTCGTAGAATTGATTTTTTCGCTCTTAAGTGATTCTCAGTGTAAGTTTGTTCAAATGAATGACCTTGACGTTTATTCAAGGTCATAGGTGTCAAATATGTTTTAAACTTTTAAACAACTTCTTTTGAATAACGAAAAAGCTAAAAGTGTTGATATTTGGCCAGTAACATGCTTAGATGAAGGGCTATCAAGTGTTTTAATTTGAATGACCTTGACCCACTTTCAAGGTATTTTTTGGTCAAATGTGTATACCCATAAATGACCTAATCTCAATAAACAAAAGGTCTAGTGTGATATTTTGCAAATTGCATGCTGAGATGAAGGGCTATAAAGTTTGTTCAACATAATGACTTCGTTCGACTTTCAAAGTCACAGGGGCAAATGGGTTTAAATCTTTTAACAGGATTTATAACAGGTTCTTTTGAATTTCTTATTGTCATAAATACTGATATTTTGCCTGTAGCTTTATTTTAGTTCACTTTTAAGGCTACAATTGTGAGACTAATACCAGGTGAGCGATGCAGGCCCATTGAGCCTCTTGTTTTTTAAAAAATAAATTAATGACTAGAGTATAAAAATATTAGCTCACATGTGAGTGGGCCATTTGGAATGAAATAAATAAAAACATAAACCTTTGCAAAAAAGATTATTATATTTCATTGCCGTCTTTGGTTATCATTTCATGACACTCAGAAAAAAGTCTTCAATACCTTTGTACAAGGTTCAGTGGGAGAATAGTACTATCATGATGCCAATTAAGATTTACTATTTATGCAAAGAAAATCAGCGTGTCCTTGATATTTATGTAAGCAAATCACTGAAACATTTTGCTTCTGATAACTCTATGGTTGGTGTTTCAGGAGGCTAAAGAATCCGTGGCAAGAACCTATGGATCAATGTCACCCGATAACATTTTACTAAGAGAGGATGCACAAAAGTTCATAGATTTGTGCTTAGCAAAGCAGCGTGTGGTTGATGTAAATGTGAGTATTAAACTGCTGAATATCATACCTGTATAAAGTTTCAGTTATGAGAACAGTAAACAGTAAGTCAACTATGATGGACAAATTTTGGTATTTGGTTTAAAGCATCCTTTGGTGAAGAGGACTTAATTTTGTACAAACGGTGGGTCTGACCCCCCCGGGGGCAGAAGGTCGGGCCCAATAGGGGAAATATAGCAAATTCTTCAAAATCCTTTTTCTGTAGGAATGACAGGATTTTGTCCAAATTTGTTATGAAGCATCCTTGTTTGAAGGGGGAACACATTTTGTATGCCCTTGGGGCAGGGAGGCGGGGCCCAATAAGGGATATAGATAAATAGCTTTAATATCCTCCTTTTTCCGTTGGGATGAAGTTATTTTGACCAAATTTGAACAGTAGCATCCTATGGGGAAGAGAAATCAATTTTGTATAAATGGTGGGTCTTACCCTCCTGGGACCTGAGGGGTGGGAGGGGTAATTTAGCAAATTCTTTAAAATCCTTCTTCTTCTGTAGGAATGACAGGATTTTGTCCATATTTGGTATAAAGCATCCTTGGGTGAAGGGGACTTAATTTTGTATAAACGATGGGTCTGATCCCCCTGGGGGCGGAGGGGCCAATAGGGGAAACATAGCAAATTCTTCAAAATTCTTCTTTTCCGATAGGAATTTGTCCAATTGCATATAAATATAACCCCTGACTAACCATGTACACTACCAGCAACATTTGGCTATTTCAACTTCAATTTTGCTTATATTTCCAGGCCTTCTTGTTTAAAGTAACAAATATTGTTGCATCAAAAAATTGCGAGAAGTAGTAGCATGTTATTAGATCAGAGATAACCTTATGATCTGTGCAATGTTTAATAAACTCCATTTTTAATCCTTTTTGTCATTTTGATTTGACAGTGGATATGTTCACAAGTCCAGCAATTTGCTTACAAACGGAGAGAATTCAACAGATGTGAAAAAAATAAATTAAATTCATGGGCACAAAAGTATCATCCAAGAGGGAGAAAAGCACCTCCAAGAGAAGTAAAATATTCATATGAAAAACCAGCAACTTTAAACTTGCAATATTTAGCCCACCCAGAAATGTACAGGCTTGTTCTCACACACATTACTGTGTTGGGGAATGTCTTGATATTTTTTACAAAGCAGTTTTCGACACACTCCCAAGAGTACTTATGGGTAAGTAAATAAGATGATACATTGCTGTAAATCCTTTTCATCCATTAAATTTCACTGTATGTATTTCTACATAAATAGATTTTTTCCATTAAAAATTTCATTAAATCTTAGCCCATGACTGATATATTTACCGAGAGGTTCCCCAACAAGTGATGGTGCAATTTTCCTCCATTTAAAAATTAGCTGGCGAGAGTTAGACAAATATGATGATTAATCATCACGAGTTACCATGACATCCACTGTCGTCAATATCACTGACTCAACATTTCTTTACCATAACATCCACTGTCGTCAATATCACTGACTCAACATTCCTTTACCATGACATCCACTGTCGTCAATATCACTGACTCAACATTCCTTTACCATGACATCCACTGTCGTCAATATCACTGACTCAACCTTCCTTTACCATGACATCCACTGTCATCAATATCACTGACTCAACCTTCCTTTACCATGACATCCACTGTCATCAATATCACTGACTCAACCTTCCTTTACCATGACATCCACTGTCATCAATATCACTGACTCAACCTTCCTTTACCATTACAGACTGTGGATCTTGAATCCAGGGACGCCTTTCTTGCCTACAAGGTTGGATTTAATACTGTCAAAAAAACTAGCCTTCCAGTACGCAATCAAGTTTGTCACACCATTCCGGGAGCAAACCTCTTTCTCAACAAAGTGTAAGACATCGAAATAAAAACATAACTAATCATATTCAAAGAGACAGTCCGAGTTTGAAGTGAACTTATATATTGTTATTAATAGACCTGAAGATATTTGTTCCCTAATAAACGTGATGACTCTGGGGAAAAGAAAAAAAAATCATGTAAATCCAATTTTCGCTAATTTTGCTGTAGAAATATTTCTGAGAGAAAGGAATAACTCGTCCAAATTATTATTATAAATGTTGTGCACATATAATTTTAGCTCATCTGCGGGCTGAGATGATTAAAACAAAGATAAAATTTGCGGTAGAACCATGATTGAACGGGATTAAGAAAGTAACTTATCAAAAGAAAGGGAACGGGATTAAGAAAGTAACTTATCAAAAGAAAGGGAACGGGATTAAGAAAGTAACTTATCAAAAGAAAGGGAACAGGTTAAGAAAGGAACTTATCAAAAGAAAGGGAACAAGATTAAGAAAGGGGTCAAAGCATATTTACACATAGTGCAAATAGATTTCACTTTGGAGTGTTGATTCTTATGATCAAATCCATATTATTCAGATTAAACTGTATCGTGTTGTATTACTTTCTTTTCCAGATCAGATACACAGTTCAAAGTGACAAATATGAGGAAAATGAATGAAACCAACATGGAAATTGTCAACTGTTACCCTACCAATACCTCATCCTGTGCTGATATATCACAAATGTTTTTGTTCGGTAGCCAGCTATTTGGCATCTCCTTTAACAGCAGGTAAAACTTCTCACATAATGCTGAAGTGTTAATACTGCAAAATAGGAAGTTTATAGTATGACAGCTTATCAGTTTATAATATAAAAGTACTGCATTTATCTGTCAATAAGCCCATGACTCATACCAATAATACCACCCAAATCTATCGCAGTTCTGTAGAAATGCCAACAAGTGCCTTTTCATTGTCTGTGATTGAGTAATAGGAGATGATATAGTGGCACTCTGGGCTTATTATAGGATAAATATGGTGAATACTCCAGATTGTGTATCAGTGTATAAAGTTGTTATTATAAAGTAGACAGTGTATCAATATAATGTTCAAATTTGAGCATATTTTCCTGCTGCTAAATTCATGATGTTTCTATAGGAAATATTAATTTACTTTTACATTGACTGCTGTCTTTCACAACTCCTTACAACTTTTACTTTTTAAGATTTGGGTTTGGTTTTAGGTTACAAATATAACAGGATCTAGAAGGTTCTTTTCGAAAAAAATATTCCATATGGATTTTGAAAACAAGATATTTTAAGGGGGTCAAACTTATGTTGCCATATAAGAATTATGAAAGCACAACATCAAAATTAGTGTCCAATAAGTTGGTTGCAAAAAGGTTGAAAAACGTGACAGGGGAAGTTACTCTAAGTCAGTAAAACTCCTCTTGTTGCTTCATGTGCCATATAGAATGACGAATACTCCAAGTCTGAGTGTTACTCTTCTTCACAATCATAACTGGTATATTCCTTCACCTTAATTGGATGATTTCAGGATCTGGAGCTGGAGCAAGGAGAAGTCCCAGGGAGAGTTAGAGGGTGATGAATTTGCAGGAACACGTGACCTTGAACTCATAGGCAATGTCCTGGTGGTGAGCACGGATCGTGGGATCAAATTTAGTCCAATACCAGCTGACCATGACCAGGTGCTATATTCACTTCCTGTAGTTCTATCTGCAGAGTTCAAAGGGTAAGTTGTCATGATAATGTCATATTGATAATAAATATTTATCTGTGCCCCGAACATTTTATATTTACCACTCTATGGCATTGCCACTACCCTAGTTCAGCTGGCATTCATATCAGTTATGACTGCCAGGGCCCACATACTAGTACGGTTGTCATAGTTAATGGAATAACATCATAATGTTGGATACCACAGAACATAGCTGTTCTATCAAGTTACCGGGTAACAAGCAGACACGATACCTACACTTATTTAATCAAAATGAAACTTAATGTTAAGTTTTTATGCTCACCTGGCCTATAGGGTAAAGAAAGTGTATTAGTATATTTTCATGATTAAATGAATTCATTTTGTTGATCAAGGACTTCACTCACTCTGAACAAGGAAGGAACAATGATCTGCAAAAGTAGAGAGAGGATAAAAGTCACTGGCACCCAGGAAGAAATGAGGAATGGAAAGAAAGTGTACAGGGCAGCAATTTCTCTGGATAACATAGCAGTTGTGATGCTGGTACCCTCAGACCTGAATGGACCAAAGTATGTGATCAGCCTTTCTCTAACGTTAGATCACTCTGTCACTGTGTTACTCATATGCATAACAGTTTACAAGTTCAACTTCCTCTCAAATGTTTTGCACTCTTGAGAAAGAAGGGAAAAAGTCATCAATATTTAAATCAATAGTTTTGTATGGATTGAATAAACTAATTGATATTAAAAAATATCTAAAATACACTAAAAAAAGAAGATGCAAAATTTATCAACACAACTGGTAAAGCCTAATTTTGTATCCTGCTTGTGATACAAAATTAAACAGAGATTTATGAATTTAATACCTTTTTTGCAGCTAACCAAATTGCTCCATTGTTTTTACATTGTATTTCATGTATCAAGTTTTATTTTTGGATGTGCAGCCTTTGGGCTGCCATTCTATAGGCCTTGTGCATGCAAGAAAAACCAAATAACTGCCTTTATTTTCTTGTTGTTGAGTTATCTATCCTCTAAAATCTGACAAAATGTTCTTTATAAACAACCAGAACAATATGATACAGTTTAATAAATGCTATTTATTAACTGTATAGGTATGCAATGTTATCATGACCAACATTGTTGTATATGTCTTATAAATCAGCATACACATGTTTATACACATAACAGAAGAAATCATGATGATCTACATTTAGGTTTGGCCTTGGGGGCTATATCATACTACACATATATAAGCTATGGAAATCTCACAGATTACTGACGTTATCATACCAGGAGTGAACTTTCACCCCTTGTCCCAGGATTACTGCCAATATATCCCCCATGGAGCGAAACGGTCGCCCCTGGTTCCAACGGCTGGATGATATTTCCCATTATAAAAAAACGGACCCCAATGAGAGGATATTTCTGACAAACCTGGATCCAGACATGATGAGTAGCTCATATACCTGGATCCCATGAGAGGATATCGGATCAGGAAATTCCTGGGTTCACATGATATCTAGATCTAATTTTCTGGATATAGATCCCATGAGAGGATATTTCCAGAATCCTGGATTGGACACATGGGCCCCGTTAGCCCATGTTGTACCAATCCCAAATGTTCAAAGTGGGTCTGCGAAAAATTGATGCAGAACAGTTTGCGAAATATGTTCCTGATTTGAAGATGTTTTTTTTTACTTTAATAACAACCTCCAATCATCAAAACAGCCATTCGTATTTACAATTGGTGTAACTAATTCATATTAAAGGCCTCCATTTTACAATTGGTGTAACTAATTCATATTAAAGGCCTCTATTTTACAATTGGTGTAACTTATTCATATTAAAGGCCTTTATTTTACTCTGCTCATGAATACAATGCTTCAGCTTTTGTCAGAACCATGTGCTCGCTTTAGGTCAAGTCATAGCTTCGTAATTCTCAGACGAGGGCTCTCGCTGTCGGTAGCTTACACAGCCATTGGCTCTTTTCGTTATTGAATTGGGTACTAGCTTGAAAAATAGAAGATAACCTGAAACTATAAATCCCAAAGATGCAAGTCTACATTGGCCAAACTGTCGGATCATTTTGTTGAAACACTGCATCAGACAAATTTACGTGTTTACTATATCAAATCTTGTGCATGCAGTCTTCATTTATCTTTTTTAGTCCCGAAACATGCCTTACTACATCAGGTATTTGTTGTATATCGAAAGAATATATTGCTTTTGAAACACTGTGCCAATTTTCGGCCTTTGGTCTAGTTGCCTTTGCTATCGCGATCACTTCATGGCAGCAAGACTTAGGTGTTGCTTTTCCGGCGAAAGCAGCAACAGCGTCAATATTACGTTTTTGTGTTTTAATTAGTATCTCTGAAAGTGTAAGTGCTACACCACCCAAACTTGGACCATATATGCATCTTAGGTGGTACATCTCAACCCATGCATCAAATGATGGATGCGGCCTACCTTTCATGGTCCATTGACTTTGTCAGCATCTCCATAAACATTAAGTTTTTGCATTTAAGTTAGTTTTTCTGAAAGTGTAAGTGCTATACCACCCAAACTTGGACCATAGATACATCTTAGGTAGTACATCGCAACCCACGCATCAAATGTAAAATCTCAAAATGATGTTTGTTTAGATTCCAATGAGTACAAACATTCAACATCAAATTTTCTCAAAGGTATATGTTAATGGCTCCTCACTCAAAAAAGTAATAAAAAACTTTTTTATCTTTCTATGATGTTTTTATTTGAATTTCAGATTGATGACTCCCATTGAGATCCTCATGGCTGTAACTCTGCCTGGTTATGGTACCGAGACATGCTTCATTAGTCAGCAAGGTAAACAGCATTTATAGATTATTACACTAGTGTGAAACAGACATGCTTCATTAGTCGTCAAGGTAAACAGCATTTATAGAATTATAACACTAGTGTGAAACAGACATGCTTCATTAGTCAGCAAGGTAAACGACATTTATAGATTATTTCACTAGTGTAAAACAGACATGCTTCATTAGTCAGCAAGGTAAACAGCATTTAAAGATTATTTCACTAGTGTGAAATAGGCATGCTTCATTAGTCAGCAAGGTAAACAACATTTATTGATTATTTCACTAGTGTGAAACAGGCATGCTTCATTAGTCAGCAAGGTAAACAACATTTATAGATTATAACACTAGTGTGAAACAGACATGCTTCATTAGTCAGCAAGGTAAACAACATTTATAGATTATTTTACTAGTGTGAAACAGACATGCTCCATAGTCAGCAAGGTAAACAACATTTATAGATTATTATACTAGTGTGAAACAGACATGCTTCATTAGTCAGCAAGGTAAATAACATTTATAGATTATTTCACTAGTGTGAAACAGACATGCTTCATGAGTCAGCAAGGTAAACACCGTTTTATAGAATTATTACACTAGTGTGAAACAGACATGCTTCATTAGTCAGCAAGGTAAACACCGTTTTATAGAATTATTACACTAGTGTGAAACAGACATGCTTCATTAGTCATCAAGGTAAACAACATTTAAAGATTATTACACTAGTGTGAAACAGACATGCTTCATTAGTCAGCAAGGTAAACA